TTTTTCAATTTCTCCATAGACATGAGACCCGTGAAGACCCGGGGTAGAATAGGTCTTCAGCAACCCATGCTTGACGTAAAAGGCGACTATGCTTGTCCTAAAAGGCGACAAACGGATCGGGTGGTCAGGCTCGCTGACTTGGTTGATGCATGTCATCGTATCCCAATTGCGTGGATCGATGCTCATGATATTAATCTCTTGATTGTCTGTTCCAGACTCGATTATTTACAGACCGCCGCCATATAGCTGGAATATTGCTGAGTACAGCGTTAAACAACAAACAAACAATACGATGCTCATGATATTAATCACTGGATTGTCTGATCCATAGGTATTATTTATAGACCGCCGTCATATAGCTGGAATTGCGGCGTTAAACATCAAACCAACCAAATCATAGACATGAAGTAAAAATGTGATTCTATGTCTATATATATATGTATTGTGTGCATCTTTGGTTTTACGCGTTCGCTCGTCACGCCGAAGACCCGGGTTCGATTCCCGACATGGGTACAATGTGTGAAGCCCATTTCTGGTGTCCCCCGCCGTTATATTGCTGGAATATTGCTAAAAGCGGCGTAAAACCATACTCGCTCACTCTTTGGTTTTACACCCATGTGGTTAATCGAAAGACTTTGTTTCGGGGCGTAGTTTTGTATTTTGTTTTGGTCATAAATGTCATTTTGATGTGCTGATGTAATGAAAAGTGTGACCCTGAAAACGGATAATTCCTGTTTATATTAGGCGTACTTTACGAAAGGGAAGTTCTTAGACGATGACGTCCTGATGGGAGTGGGAAAGGAGGCTGGACTTGACCCTGGAGAGGTCAAGGCCTATATCAACACCGACAAGGTCATCCAAGACATCCGCACAAAAGCGTTGTCATGGGCAATGAAAGGTGTTTCCGGTAGGTCATTGAATCTCTCTCTCTCTCTCTCTCTCTCTCTCTCTCTCTCTCTCTCTCTCTCTCTCTCTCAGTGTGACATGCCTTGTCTTCTGTTTCCTCGACACCGATGACAACTGCAGTAACTACTTTGCCTACAGGTGTCCCCTACTTCTACATGAACGGCCGTCGCATGTTCTCCGGCGCACAGGATGTGGAGACCTTCAAGAAGATGATGGAGATGGTGGCTGAAGAGTCCCCGCAAGAAGCCACCTAAAATCATAATGGTGCGTTTTTGGTGTGTGCGTCTTTGTGTGTGCGTTTTTGTGTGTGCGTCTTTGCATGTGCGTCTTTGTGTGTGCGTTTTTGTGTGTGCGTTTTTGTGTGTGCGTCTTTGTGTGTGCGTTTTTGTGTATGCGTCTTTGTGTGTGCGTCTTTGCATGTGCGTCTTTGTGTGTGCGTCTTTGTGTGTGCGTCTTTGAATGTGCGTCTTTGAATGTGCGTCTTTGTGTTTGCGTTTTTGTGTGTGCGTTTTTGTGTGTGCGTCTTTGTATGTGCGTCTTTGTGTGTGCGTCTTTGTATGTGCGTCTTTGTATGTGCGTCTTTGTGTGTGCGTTTTTGTGTGTGCGTCTTTGTGCGTTTTTGTGTGTGCGTCTTTGTATGTGCGTCTTTGTGTGTGCGTCTTTGTGTGTGCGTCTTTGTATGTGCGTCTTTGTGTGTGCGTCTTTGTATGTGCGTCTTTGTATGTGCGTCTTTGTGTGTGCGTCTTTGTGTGTGCGTCTTTGTATGTGCGTTTTTGTATGTGCGTCTTTGTGTGTGCGTCTTTGTAGGTGCGTTTTTGTATGTGCCTCTTTGTGTGTGCGTTTTTGTATGTGCGTCTTTGTAGGTGCGTCTTTGTAGGTGCGTTTTTGTATGTGCGTTTTTTTGTGTGCGTCTTTGTGTGTGCGTTTTTGTATGTGCGTCTTTGTGTGTGCGTCTTTGTTTGTGCGTCTTTGTATGTGCGTCTTTGTGTGTGCGTTTTTGTGTGTGCGTTTTTGTATGTGCGTCTTTGTGTGTGCGTCTTTGTAGGTGCGTCGTGTGTGAGGATGAGATAACACACACCTTCGTGAGACACGTTTTGCAATCTGTCAACCATTGCGTCTGCATCTGAACGTCTGTGCGTGTGCATCTGCTTGTATGTGAGGATGTGCGAATGGGCTTATGTTTGTTTGTTTGTTGTTTAACGCCGCACTCAGCAACATTCTAGCTATATGACGGCGGTCTGTAAATAATCGTGTCTAGACCAGACAATCCAGTGATTGAAATCATGAGCATCGATTCACACACTAGGTATACGATGGCATGCATCAACCAAGTCAGCAAGCCTGACCACCCGATCCCGTTAGTCGCCTCTTACGACAAGCATAGTCGCCTTTTACGGCAAACATGGGTTGCTGAAGACCTATTCTACCCCGGATCTTCACGGGGCTGATTGAGATTAACTGTTGATGTGTGTGTGTATGTATGCACGTCCGTGTATGTGTGTACATGTGTGTGTATGTGTGTACATGTGTGTGTGTGTGTGTGTACATGTGTGTGTGTGTGTGTACTCATGTCGTAGCCTTAAACGACGCGTTGTTTGTTGAAAGTATAAGATTGCAACAAAACTCTTTTTATCATCTAATGTTATTTCTCACACTTGAGTGCATTGACATATGGAAGTGTATTGTTTATTATCCATATGGCCCAACATATCATTGTTGACGGGTAGGTGAAGTACCCTAGTGGTTAAAGCATTCGCTTGTCACGCTGTAGGATTCCCGACATGGGTACAAAATGTAAAGCCCATTTCTGGTGTTCCCCGTCGTGACATTGCTGGAATATTGCTAAAAGTGGCGTTAAATCTAACTCATTCACTCACTCGTCGTTAAAGTGAGTGAGTGAGTGAGTATGGTTTTACGCCGCTTTTAGCAATATTCCAGCAATATCACGGCGGGGGACACCAGAAATGGGCTTCACGAATTGTACCCATGTCGGGAATCGAACCCGGGTCTTCGGCGTGACGAGCGAACGCTTTAACCACTAGGCTACCGGCCTGCCCCGAGAGAAGAGGAAATTAGTGTACACGTGTGTATATCCATCCAATGGTTGTTTACAGTTATATAACAGGTAAAGAACACGTGACACAGTTAAAGTTCAGCTTTCCTTTTTTTCAGATTCAGTGACCTAATGAGTAACGATCTTGCAACGAGTGGAAAAGCCTTAACGACCAATCACCAAAAACCTCCTATTTATTCCACACTCTGATAGTATACCCTGCTACTCTGCACGTGAAGCCTATGCTAAAATACCCAGTGACCATTTAATTAATTGGTTAGTGTTGATGTTGCCCTTTTGAAAAAGTGACCCGATGACGACAGCCATTTAACTGACCAGTGGCTGAGCAGATGTTAGTCACGTGACGTGAAGAGTAACATCAACATTACAATTGATTGGCTGGAGACAAGCGACGCTGTTTGATTGGTGCGATACCATTGTATCAAAGTAGAAGCTGACAGAGTTACGATTAAAACATATTTACAATTGTTAATTCATATTAAAAGAAGTTGCAACATCATGAAAACATAATATATTAGTTTTGTCTTTTGTACGGACGGAACCAAACTGGTCACCTGAAGGTTGTGTCCTTCACCACACATAGCTTGTTGTGTATCGCCGCTGTGTGACGACAGCTGATATATAATCGAGTCTGGTCCTGACAATTCACTAACGATATAAGGAATTGGGGTACGCTGACAAGTAACGGGGAGACAAGCGTAGGGTGCTTCGACCTATTCCAGCCTGGAATCCCTACGGGGAGACAAGCATAGGTTGCTGGGGACTATTCTAACACGGAATCTTCACAGGGAGACAAGCGTAGGGTGCTGGGAACTATTCTAACACTGAGTGGGGGCACGGGTGGCCCAGTCGTCTAAGGCGCCGCGATTCGCTGTGCAGAGTTGCGTCCCTTTGGAACGCCAGAAACCTATGATTGTGGGTTCGAATCCCGGTTCGCCCCGATTATGTTTCTAGGTTTGTCAGCACCATACCCGTGCTCGTGTGTTTCTCCGAAGTGCTCAACGTCTGAGACCTGCACCACTTCGGGCTTTCCTCCCACATTAAGCTGACACGCCGTGATATAACTGGAGCGGCGTTAAACCCAACTCACTCACTCTAACCACGGCTAGACAAGCATAGGTTGCTGGGGACTATTCTAACCCGGAATATGGGTACAATGTGTGAAGCCCATTACTGGTGTCCCCCGCCGTGATATTGCTGGAATAATGCTAAAACCATACTCTCTCACTTAGTCTAACCCGGAATCTTTACAGGAGACAAGCATAGGCTCCTGCAGACTTATTCTAATCTTGCTAAGGACCTGTTCTAACCCGGAATATGCACAGGGTGAATGTCAACACTTAGATAATTGCACAGTCATAGCGCAAGATAGTCCTGCACCATGACTGTGGAATATATTTATTTTACGAAAAACATAATAATCTAGAAACGCATACAAAAGCAAGTCTAGCCAGCTCTTTCTAGCTCTATTCCGCATGAAATTTCTATGAAATCAGCATAGGGAGATATTTTTGTTTGTTTTAGAGTCAAGAAGCTTAGTGTGCAATATAAGATTTTATAGACTAAATGCATAGGGAGATTTAATTTTTTTTAGAGTCAAGAAGGATATTGTGTAATATAAGATTTCAGAGACTAAATGTTAGTCTAGGCGCAAGACTAACTCAGCATGAAGATACACTTACTAATGTCAAAAAATATAACGGTAGTTTCCGAATTCACTGATGATCAGTGAATCTGGGAAGTGTCATTTAAATTTAAGTACTGTAATCTTAGGAGAGCGGGGATCCGAATTCATTGTATCATTTAATTTGTCCCAGCAGACGGTACTAAACATGCATTCGTCCGTAAATAAACTCATCGAAATAACATTATCCACGCAGCGGCTGCCAAATTAGGACGCTGTGGAATGTGACCGCCACCCGTGTTATCTTTGGGCTGTATTTACCAGGCTCCTCACAGCGATAGCCCGGTCGCGGAGCTCTCCCTACATGATAATAAGGTCATGCGCTGAGAAGCTGTGTTTGTTGATCTTGGAAGGGAGGTAACTCCAGTGTTTTGTGCGAGTGTTTCGAGGAAGACGTGACGACCGTTCAGGTAAAATACACATCAACGAGTTGACATAGTTCGTGGTCAACATGGCATCTCGGCAGCTGATCAATGTGGACGTCGTCAGCGACGTCATCTGACCATGGTGTTGGGTCGGCAAGAGGAAGTTGGAGGTCGCTTTAGCTGATCTCGCGGAAAACTTCGAGGTCCGCGTTCGATGGGAACCCTTCCTCCTCCGACCCAATACCCCCCTCGAGGGGATGCCCAAACCCGCCATGTATACAGACCCCGCGAATCCCAGGTGAGATCTGATTTGTTGATGTCGAGGAGAATAACAGTTTCATTGTTTGAGATTTGACAGGTCACTACTAGGTCAAAGTCCGCACCCAGGGGTAGTATTAACTACAGTGCAGTCAATACTATGTTAGGATTCTTGGCAGTTAGTGCGAGGTTTAGCAAATGTCTATATATTGTCTGTTGTCAGTTTTGTGTATACTGTATTCAGGAAATGTATACAGAATGTTTGGTCAGACATGACGTGTTTGAAATTGTTCCTACGAAGCGTTCATAAAATACAGCTAGGTCATCTGAGGTCATCGATATTATTTCAGGTCGAGTTGGTAAAATGCTGGTTTTTTTATGTTTTATTAATTTTGATGGGTTTTTGAACGTGTGGTTTGTATGAGGGAAAATATATGTACATATATAGTATATACGTGGCCATTGAATCAGTTAAAGCATTCATAAAATCATCAATGAATGGTTGGTTTGTTGTTTAACGACGCACTCAGCAATATTCCAACTATATGACGGCGGTCTGTAAATAATCGAGTCTGGATCCAGTGATTGACATCATGAGCATCGATCCACGCAATTGGGATCGATGACATGCATCAACCAAGTCAGCGAGCCTGACCACCCGATCCCGTTAGTCGCCTCTTACGACAAGCAGAGTCGACTTTTACGGCAAGCATGGGTTGCTGAAGACCTATTCTACCACGGATATCTTCTTCCAAGATGCCGAATTTAAGACTAACCTTGTGTTTTATTGGAGATTTGTTTTAAATCAAATCTCTAATACCATTGATCCGGGGTAGAATAGGTCTTCAGCAACAATGCTTGCCGTAAAAGGCGACTCTGCTTGTCTAAGAGGCGACTAACGGGATCGGGTGGTCAGACTCGCTGACATGGTTGATGCATGTCATCGTTCCCAATTGCGTGGATCGATGCGCATGTTTTCAATCACTGGATTGTCTGGTCCAGGTTCGATTATTTAAAAAAATATTCATAAAATACAGCTAGGTCATCTGAGGTCATCGATATTATTTCAGGTCGAGTTGGTAAAATGCTGGTTTTTTTATGTTTTATTAATTTTGATGGGTTTTTGAACGTGTGGTTTGTATGAGGGAAAATATATGTACATATATAGTATATACGTGGCCATTGAATCAGTTAAAGCATTCATAAAATCATCAATGAATGGTTGGTTTGTTGTTTAACGACGCACTCAGCAATATTCCAACTATATGACGGCGGTCTGTAAATAATCGAGTCTGGATCCAGTGATTGACATCATGAGCATCGATCCACGCAATTGGGATCGATGACATGCATCAACCAAGTCAGCGAGCCTGACCACCCGATCCCGTTAGTCGCCTCTTACGACAAGCAGAGTCGACTTTTACGGCAAGCATGGGTTGCTGAAGACCTATTCTACCACGGATATCTTCTTCCAAGATGCCGAATTTAAGACTAACCTTGTGTTTTATTGGAGATTTGTTTTAAATCAAATCTCTAATACCATTGATCCGGGGTAGAATAGGTCTTCAGCAACAATGCTTGCCGTAAAAGGCGACTCTGCTTGTCTAAGAGGCGACTAACGGGATCGGGTGGTCAGACTCGCTGACATGGTTGATGCATGTCATCGTTCCCAATTGCGTGGATCGATGCGCATGTTTTCAATCACTGGATTGTCTGGTCCAGGTTCGATTATTTACAGACCGCCGTCATATAGCTGGAATATTGCTGAGTGAGGCGTTAAATAACAAACAAACAAACAAACATAGTTACGTCAAAATCGACTGGCGTCATGACGCTGATCATGTATTTTAATATTCAAACGGTACTGACACTGGGTAAACATTATTTATACATGTTCTTCCTTCACAGGGTCCAGTACCTGAAACAAGCCGGACAGGAAGTGGGTATCGACTTTACCAATAAGGCCACAGTAGTCCCCAATACACTCAAAGCGCATGCGCTGATGGAACTTTCCAAACACAAGGGAGGAGAAAGCCTACAGAATGACGTCGCCGAACGACTCTTCGACGTAAGCCCAATGTCCCCAACACATGTTAGAAAACAACAGATTATTTTACTGTCTTCTGTTTTCATCCCAAACGATTTTTTCACAAAGTCTTCATTGTTATGACATGTCCCTGTCATATGTGCATCTTTGATTTTTATCCATGGAATTTGTAGAACGATTGTTTGAGTAGTTTTTTGTTTAGATAGGACCAGGGTATGAAACTCCCAAAGCTTTCAGCCAGTCCACAGGACTGGCTACCTGAAATACTTGCCAGCCCTGACCAAAACCCGCCTGCCCACTATAATCATATGTTTCTCAGGATAAGTTTACGGGGTTTCTTTTTGGTTACATTTTATCATTCATCTTTACATGTGAATTAATGCTTATCATCGGGAAATATTTAGAATGTTTTCACATATGAAATATAACCCGACCGTCGGGCAGGGGAATTTGAAAATCTGGCAGCCCGAGTTGAAATCAACCCGTCTCGGACGGTCGGGCAGGCAGGTTAGGACAGTTAAGGAATATATTTTTTATGTGTTTGTAGTAATGTCAAATGTGAACATAAAAACGGATAATTCCTGTTTATGTTCAGACGTACTTTACGAAAGGGAAGTTCTTAGGCGATGACGTCCTGATGGGAGTGGGAAAGGAGGCTGGCCTTGACCCGGGAGAAGTCAAGGCTTATATCAACAACCAGGCAGTGATCCAGGACATCCGCACGAGAGCGTTGTCATGGAGTCAGAAAGGTGTTTCCGGTAAGTCACTGATGATTCTATCTGTTGATTCTCTCTTTGTTGGACCCGTGAAGATCCGGGGTAGAATAGGTCTTCAGCAACCCATGCTTGTCGTAAAAGGCGACTGTGCTTGTCGTAAAAGGCGACTAACGGGATCGGGTGGTCAGGCTCGCTGACTTGGTTGATGCATGTCAATTATCCCAATTGCTACGATCGATCGATACTCATGATGTCACACTGGATTGTCTGGTCTGATTATTTACAGACCGTCGTCATATAGCTGGAATATTGCTGAATGCGGCGTTAAATAGCAAACAAACAAACAAACAAACAAAACAGTCGCTGTTGATTAAGTATCTGATGATTCGGAACAAGTAGGATCTCTTGGCAAAGCTCTTCATATTCGGGAACAGATTGAAATAATTCCGCAAGGCATTCTAAAATTCACAAAAGTATTGAATCAACCAATTTCACTCGAAATAAGGGAACTTACACCTTCCATAGACACAAGGCACCACAACGGAACAAATTTTCCATTTCCGTTGTCGGAATTGAATTTTATACCTTGAAATATGTATTTCACCCATTACTTGTAATGGATAACTTTTGAATCCTTAAGGATCACTGTTTGTTTTGCAAGTCCACTATAAACGAATCAATTTGGACTGAAACATTATCGGCGAACCGAGATGCGAACCCACAATCATAGGTTTCTGGCGTGCCCAAGGGACGCAACTCCGCTAAGCGAATTGCGGCGCCTTACACGACTGGGCCACGGTGACCCCTGGTATCTTAAGGCATATTTACGAATGTGACACGTTTCTTTGCACTAACTGTAAATATCAAATATTAATAAATAATTAAAATACAATCATGGAAGTTGTTTATGTGTGCCTCTCAGTATACTTTGTGCGTGGGAAGACATCTTTGCTGAGGAAATGTCATGCTTAACATGCTTGGCCTTCTGTTGACGGAGACGATGACTGCTGCAGCTACTACTTTGCTTACAGGGGGCACGGGTGGCCCAGTCATCTAAGGGGCAGCGATTCGCTGTACAGAGTTGCGTCCCTTGGGCACGCCAGAAACCTATGATTGTGGGTTCGAGTCCCGGTTCGCCCCGATTATGTTTCTAGGTTTGTCAGCGCCATACCCGTGCTCGTGGGTTTCACCAAAGTGGTAAACTTCTGAGACCTGCATCACTTCGGGCTTTCCTCCCACATTAAGCTGACACGCCTGATATAACTTGAATACTGTTAAAAACGGCGTTAAACCCAACTCACTCACTCACTTTGCCTACAGGTGTCCCCTTCTTCTACATGAACGGCCATCGCATGTTCTCCGGTGCACAGGATGTGGAGACTTTCAAGAAGATGATGCAGATGGCGGCTGAGAAGTTCCCGCAAGAAGCCAGCAGTCGCACTTGAAATCAAAATGGTGCGTGCGTGCGTATTTGTGTGAGCGTATATTTGTGTGTGCGTCTTTGTGCGCGCGTATATTTGTGCGTGCGCCTTTGTGCGCGCGTATATTTGTGTGTGCGTCTATGTGCACGCGTATATTTGTGTGTGCGTCTTTGTGCGCGCGTATATTTGTGTTTGCGTCTTCGTTTGCACATAGTATGTGATAATGAGAAAATGAACACTTCTTTAAGATAACTTGTTACAGCCTTTTGACAGGCTCGACTGCAGCTGAACGCCTGTGCGAGCGTATGTGTGTATGTGTGTACGCCCCTGTATGTGTGTACGTGCGTGTGTAATTGTACGCATGTGTATGTGTGTACGTGCGTTGTTGTGAGTAAGTGCGTGTATATGTACGTGTATATGTGCGTTTACGTCCGTGTGTGTACGCGTATGTATGTGTATTCGCGTTTGTATTTGTGTACGTGTGTGTCTGTATGCGCGTTAGTGTGTGTACGTGCGTTTATGTGTGTACGCATGTGTATGTGTTTACGCCTATGTATGTAGGTGCATGTGTGTGTGTATACGCGCATGTATGTGTGTTTGCGTTTGTATGTGTGTACGTGCGTGTGTGTGTATGTGAATGGGAAGGTTTCTTTGAAGACGCTGTATTCATGACGGAGTCATTAACGACACGTTGTATGTTATGATATGATGATATAGTGTAACAAACACCTTTAATTCTTATTTATCATACCCGAGCGGATCGCCACATCGTTGTGTCATATGCAGAACGGCAATTATTGATCATCCACTTGGTCCAACATACACTTCATCATTGACGAAATACATACACTGTTGTTGACGTGATACATAATACTTCGTCGGTGACGACATTTGGACACTACTATTGGCGTAATACCTTCTTCATCGTTGACGACAGGCGGTGGGCTAGGCTAGCCTATGCGATTCCCCGCATATGGACATAAACACCCACCCTCCTATACCCCCAACCATCAGGGGCAGTGGGGTAGCCTAGTGGTTAAAGCGTTCGCTCGTCACGCTGAAGACTCGGGTTCGATTCCCGACATGGGTACAATGTGTGAAGCCCATTTCTGGTGTCTCCCGCCGTGATACTGCTGGAATATTGCTTAAAGCGGCGTAAAACCACACTCACTCACTCACTTACCCAACCACCAAGCCCACCACCCCTCTCCGGATAATACTGGAGAAATTTGAGAAGAGAAAGTTTACACAACTCCGTCAATCACGTGTTCACGTGTGTTTACCCAACTGTTGTTTACCGTTATATAACAGGTCATGTACACGAAGTTAAAGTTGACATTTGTTTTGTTTTTTCAGATTTGACGTGACCAAATGTGTAGCGATCTAGCACCGAGTGGAAAAGCCTTAACGACCAATCACTAGGGACCTCGTCTTTATCCCGCTCTCTGAGTGCGTGTCTTGCTATAATCTATGTGTGTTTGTGCAACAATACCCAGTGACCAATTATGCAGTAGTCTGTGCTGATGATTTGTTTGTCCCGCTACTACGTGTGTGAAGCTTATGCTTAAATATCCAGTGACCATTTAATTAATTTGTTAGTGTTAATGTTGCCCTTTTGAAAAGTGACCCTATGACGACAGCCATTAAACTGACCAGTGGCTGAGCTGATGTTAGTCACGTGACGTGAAGAGTAACATCACCACTACGGCGACTTCCTTTGATTGGCTAGAGACAGGTGACACTGTGTTTGATTGGTGCGATACCCCATGTCCATTTTATCCAAGAAGCTTGACAGTGTTTAGATATATGGTGTCTGGTTGAGATTAAAACGTGTATTTACAATTGTTAATTTAAGTCGAAAGAAGTTGTAAAAAAACATGAAAACACAATGTATTAGTTTTGTTTTTTGACGGACGGAACCGAAATGATATCATCCCCTAAAGGTTGTGTTCTTCACACATTGCTTGTTTGTTGTGTATCACCGAACTATGACGACAGCTGGTACATAATCATCTATATGGAGCCACCAAAAACATCCATCTGTACGGAACAGACATTATCCAGCGGATGGAGCCACTAAACACTATCCAGCTGTATGGAGCACTACGCACTATCCAGCTGTATGGGGCACTACGCACTATCCAGCTGTATGGGGCCACTACACACTATCCAGCTGTATGGGGCACTACGCACTATCCAGCTGTATGGGGCACTACGCACTATCCAGCTGTATGGGGCCACTACACACTATCCAGCTGTATGGGGCACTACGCACTATCCAGCTGTATGGGGCACTATGCACTATCCAGCTGTATGGGGCACTACGCACTATCCAGCTGTATGGGGCACTACGCACTATCCAGCTGTATGGGGCCACTACACACTATCCAGCTGTATGGGGCACTATGCACTATCCAGCTGTATGGGGCACTACGCACTATCCAGCTGTATGGGGCACTACGCACTATCCAGCTGTATGGGGCACTACGCACTATCCAGCTGTATGGGGCCACTACACACTATCCAGCTGTATGGGGCACTACGCACTATCCAGCTGTATGGGGCACTACGCACTATCCAGCTGTATGGGGCACTACGCACTATCCAGCTGTATGGGGCCACTACACACTATCCAGCTATATGGAACCACTACACTATCCATCTATATGAACCCACTGCACACTATCCATCTCTATGGAGCCACTACACACTATCCATCTCTATGGAGCCACTACACACTATCCATCTCTATGGAGCCACTACACACTGTCCATCTCTATGGAGCCACTACACACTGTCCTTCTATATGGAGCCACTACACACTATCCATCTCTATGGAGCCACTACACACTATCCATCTATATGGAGCCACTACACACTGTCCATCTCTATGGAGCCACTACACACTGTCCATCTCTATGGAGCCACTACACATTATCCATCTCTATGGAGCCACTACACACTGTCCATCTCTATGGAGCCACTACACACTGTCCATCTCTATGGAGCCACTACACACTGTCCTTCTATATGGAGCCACTACATACTATCCATCTCTATGGAGCCACTACACACTAACCATCTCTATGGAACCACTACACAATATCCATCTATATGGAGCCACTACACACTATCCATCTATATGGAGCCACTACACACTATCCATCTCTATGGGGCCACTACTCACTACCCATCTCTATGGAGCCACTTCTCACTATCCATCTATATGGAGCAACTACAAACTATCCATCTCTATGGAGCCACTACTCACTATCCATCTATATGGGGCCACTACTCACTACCCATCTCTATTGAGCCACTACTCACTATCCATCTATATGGAGCACTACTCACTATCCATCTATATGGAGCACTACACACTATCCATCTCTATGGAGCCACTACACACTATCCATCTATATGGAACCACTACACACTAACCATCTATATGGAACCACTACACAATATCCATCTATATGGAGCACTACTCACTATCCATCTATATGGAGCACTACACACTATCCATCTCTATGGAGCCACTACACACTATCCATCTATATGGAGCCACTACACACTATCCATCTCTATGGAGCCACTACACACTATCCATCTCTATGGAGCCACTACTCACTATCCATCTCTATGGAGCCACTACACACTATCCATCTATATGGAACCACTACACACTGTCCTTCTATATGGAGCCATTACACACTACACACTGTCCATCTCTATGGAGCCACTACACACTGTCCTATATGGAGCCACTACACACTATCCATCTATATGGAACCACTACACACTAACCATCTATATGGAACCACTACTCACTATCCATCTATATGGAGCACTACACACTATCCATCTCTATGGAGCCACTACTCACTATCCATCTATATGGAACCACTACACACTAACCATCTATATGGAACCACTACACACTGTCCTTCTATATGGAGCCATTACACACTACACACTGTCCATCTCTATGGAGCCACTACACACTGTTCTATATGGAGCCATTACACACTACACACTGTCCATCTCTATGGAGCCACTACACACTGTCCTATATGGAGCCACTACTCACTCTCCATCTCTATGGAGCCACTACACACTGTCCATCTCTATGGAGCCACTACACACTGTCCATCTATATGGAGCCACTACACACTGTCCTATATGGAGCCACTACACACTGTCCTATATGGAGCCACTACTCACTCTCCATCTCTATGGAGCCACTACACACTGTCCATCTCTATGGAGCCACTACACACTGTCCATCTATATGGAGCCACTACACACTGTCCTATATGGAGCCACTACACACTGTCCTATATGGAGCCACTACTCACTCTCCATCTCTATGGAGCCACTACACACTGTCCATCTCTATGGAGCCACTACACACTATCCATCTATATGGAGCCACTACACACTATCCATCTCTATGGAGCCACTACACACTATCCATCTCTATGGAGCCACTACTCACTATCCATCTCTATGGAGCCACTACACACTATCCATCTATATGGAACCACTACACACTGTCCTTCTATATGGAGCCATTACACACTACACACTGTCCATCTCTATGGAGCCACTACACACTGTCCTATATGGAGCCACTACACACTACCCATCTCTATGGAGCCACTACACACTATCCATCTCTATGGAGCCACTACACACTATCCATCTATATGGAACCACTACTCACTATCCATCTATATGGAGCACTACACACTATCCATCTCTATGGAGCCACTACTCACTATCCATCTATATGGAACCACTACACACTAACCATCTATATGGAACCACTACACACTGTCCTTCTATATGGAGCCATTACACACTACACACTGTCCATCTCTATGGAGCCACTACACACTGTTCTATATGGAGCCATTACACACTACACACTGTCCATCTCTATGGAGCCACTACACACTGTCCTATATGGAGCCACTACTCACTGTCTATCTCTATGGAGCCACTACACACTGTCCTACATGGAGCCACTACTCACTGTCTATCTCTATGGAGCCACTACACACTGTCCTATATGGAGCCACTACTCACTGTCCATCTCTATGGAGCCACTACACACTGTCCTATATAGAGCCACTACTCACTGTCCATCTCTATGGAGCCACTACACACTGTCCATCTCTATGGAGCCACTACTCACTGTCCATCTCTATGGAGCCACTACTCACTGTCCATCTCTATGGAGCCACTACACACTGTCCTATATGGAGCCACTACTCACTGTCCATCTCTATGGAGCCACTACACACTGTCCATCTCTATGGAGCCACTACACACTGTCCATCTATATGGAGCCACTACTCACTCTCCATCTCTATGGAGCCACTACACACTGTCCTATATGGAGCCACTACTCACTGTCCATCTCTATGGAGCCACTACACACTGTCCTATATAGAGCCACTACTCACTGTCCATCTCTATGGAGCCACTACACACTGTCCATCTCTATGGAGCCACTACTCACTGTCCATCTCTATGGAGCCACTACACACTGTCCTACATGGAGCCACTACTCACTGTCTATCTCTATGGAGCCACTACACACTGTCCTATATGGAGCCACTACTCACTGTCCATCTCTATGGAGCCACTACACACTGTCCTATATGGAGCCACTACTCACTGTCCATCTCTATGGAGCCACTACACACTGTCCATCTCTATGGAGCCACTACTCACTGTCCATCTCTATGGAGCCACTACACACTATCCATCTCTATGGAGCCACTACATACTATCCTATATGGAGCCACTACATACTATCCTATATGGAGCCACTACTCACTGTCCATCTATATGGAGCCACTACACACTGTCCATCTATATAGGACCACTACACACTATCCATCTCTATGGAGCCACTACACACTATCCATCTCTATGGAGCCACTACACACTATCCATCTCTATGGAGCCACTACACACTATCCATCTCTATGGAGCCACTACACACTATCCATCTCTATGGAGCCACTACACACTATCCATCTATATGGAGCCACTACACACTAACCATCTATATGGAACCACTACACACTGTCCTTCTATATGGAGCCACTACACACTGTCCTTCTATATGGAGCCACTACACACTGTCCTTCTATATGGAGCCACTACACACTGTCCATCTCTATGGAGCCACTACACACTGTCCATCTGTATAGGACCACTACACATTGTCCATCTCTATGGAGCCACTACACACTGTCCATCTCTATGGAGCCACTACACACTGTCCATCTCTATGGAGCCACTACACACTATCCATCTATATGGAGCCACTACACACTATCCATCTCTATGGAACCACTACACACTGTCCATCTATATGGAACCACTACACACTGTCCATCTATATGGAACCACTACACACTGTCCATCTATATGGAACCACTACACACTGTCCATCTATATAGGACCACTACACATTGTCCATCTATATGGAGCCACTACACACTGTCCATCTCTATGGAGCCACTACACACTATCCATCTCTATGGAGCCACTACACACTATCCATCTATATGGAGCCACTACACACTATCCATCTCTATGGAACCACTACACACTGTCCATCTCTATGGAACCACTACACACTGTCCATCTATATGGAGCCACTACACACTGTCCATCTATATGGAACCACTACACACTGTCCATCTATATGGAGCCACTACACACTGTCCATCTCTATGGAGCCACTACACACTATCCATCTATATGGAGCCACTACACACTGTCCATCTACATGGAGCCACTACACACTATCCATCTATATGGAGCCACTACACATTATCCATCTATATGGAGCCACTACAAATTATCC